TTGCTAGGAAGAAGCCTTTAATTTGCAGGACATGCATATACTTTCATGAGGTAAAAAAAAAAAAAGTTTTGAAGCAACTTTTAGCAATAAAATTTCACTCACAATGCTCAATATTATTATTTTACTTAGAGGAAAGGGAAAACGTTTCTTTTTTTTTCCAGGAATACTTGCAGAATAAAATCTTTGTGGCTTTAGTGACAGAATACTCCAAGTTAAGCTAATTTTCCATCTCATTGTTTAATACTTGGCTTATAATTACGCCATATCAAAGAAGGTTTCACCTGAACTTAGAAGTTATTCAAAGAGTTTCCTGGCCTGCTATTCAGGCATTCCGTGATATTTTATGGTCAAACACCTGGGGAGTACTTTTTCCACAGTAAAAAAACCCCACATGACAAAAAAAAAAAACCCACAGAACCAAAGGATCCCCAAAACCGTGAAAATTAAAATTAATTTAGCGTTGCTGTCTTTGCCAAGCTGATATCCAGGCACGTCAGCAGGGGTGCACATTCAGCTTGGTGCTCCAGAAGAACTTTTTTTTTTTAAGAGGCATTTAAGAGGAAAAAAACCAAAAAAATATCCCACCACAACATATGCAGGAAGCAATTACTCAGTTTCTTTGTTAACAAAACTGAAGTAGCTCCTCTTATCACCACACTTGTCTTTATTCTTCTCTGCAAAACTCACCTATGAATACAATTGCATTTCTTTGATCTTACTATACATAAAGGGGGGGGGAAGCTCTACTATTGTGGGTTTCCATAGCAGCAACACCAAAACAAACAGTGACCTCAACAGGAAGCACAGGCCAGCAGATAGTAAAAATCATGGTTTGCAACACATGAAAAGTTGACTTTGCACCTATATGTACTATATTCATTATTTATTTACCAAAGAGCATTACAGAGCATTAAGTTGACTTAGCTATGTCTAGAGCACTGGTGTTTGGTTGCCACCCTAACAGATCAAGCCAAGTCAAACCATAGGAAAAGAACCATGTAGACATGCCATACTGGAGAAGTTGCACCACTTCTTCCCCAGATCCTCTGCCCAACTCCACTGCAGTCAAAGTTCCTTTCATAAAGCAAGTATTGTACTGTGAAAGCTTATATATAACACACTCAGTGCCAGATTCTTTTATTCCCCCTAGTGAAGCATGAGACCATGCTGCCAGCAGGACTGTGGAGCAGGACTGTGACCTACTGATTCATTTCACCAAGTTCACAGGGGTGACAGACAGGGCAGGAATCCAGACTAGCAGGACTTTGTTCTAACAGACTCTTCAACAAAAAGCATTAAATCTTCACTTTCCCTATACCCTCAAAGCAAGGTTTGAGAACACAGTGTATATTGTATTTGGGAGAAACAGTGGTCTGTTTGTTGCTCAAGTACTTTTCAAGCTGGAGCTGCTGTTTTCAGGCTTCAGCTCTGTCATGTCTTTTTATATACAAAGATATCTTCATGATCCTGAAATGCAAATTCAATTCCTCTTGGAAAAAAAAAAAAAAAGGAGAAAACTGCATGGTCTTAAAATAAACTTCCCATCCCCTTTAAAGGGAAATTTTAACAGACATTAAAGTATGAGACTTAGTATTCACATAGTAGCTAAAAAGACTGCCTTGCAACTATGTTTTCCCACACTATTCCCTAGCTAGGTGTTTGCCCGTCCTTTTATACCTCTTCGAAGGATGGTAACCTGAACACAAAAAGGTTACACATTATTCCACATACATGCATACATTCTGCATATAATCTCAGTGCTGAAAACTCATTCAGAAGTTTATGCTGCAGACTGTGGTTGTCCAGAACCCAGGATTCAGACCAAAAGACATCTGGCTATACAGTAGACTTGCTTCTTCCAACCACTTCTGAAGATGGCAGGATGAGTTTCATGACTGTCCTGGGTTCAGCAGTAGCAGTCATTTTTCTTCTTCTTAGTAGCTAGTGCAGTGCTGTGTTTTTTACTTAAGCCTGAGAACAATGCTAATAACCACAACGTTGTCATGGGCTTAAACCACAACAATGACACAAAAGAAACCAAACAGAAGTTATGTCAAAAGTATGAGCTGCATTAACTGTGTCTCCACTTAAAGGGTATGTTGCATAGGACTGCTACTTTTCTCTCACAAGACAGAAAATAGATAAGCTGTTCGGTGCTGAAAGGATGGGCTAGAAACTGTGGCAGGTGGGGCAGTAGTTCTTCCTGCTGAAGGGCAGGTAGGTTGGTTGAGTCTTAGTTGACTTGTACTGGAGGGGAAGCAATCCCCGTCAGATGTACTGTGCGAGAATTGTTAAGTTTGGGAGAAAAACTACAAACCTGAGCCATTTCAGAAGTGCATTTTCTCCTCATAGAAACCCAGACAGATAGATACAAATGTACAATTCACGTATACATGCATGGTTTTTTTGCCAACACAGTACCAGCTCCTTGAAAACCAACAGCAGCTTTCCAAAGAGACAATGCAGAAACTCACAATTGAAGAATGGACTCATGGGCTACTGACAACTGGAGGAATCTTAGAAATGCCACATAGGAAACTTTATCCCTTAAGTTTTCTAGAATCAGAAAAGAATCCATTATATTACCCTGCACAGTCATACATTAGCAGTTCTGGGCAGGGGAAAAAAAAAATTCCTACAGTATTAGCTGATCATATAACCCTCCACACCACACACTGCTCCACTGGACATTCATTTACCCCTGCTCTGCTGAGCACGAGGGTTACCACTTCTAAACTCAGACTTTGAGGTCAGTAGAGCATGGTAAATGCAACGTATCTGGGGACTGTGTCAATTCCCTCTTTCTCCTGCCCCGTGTTCCTGGGACTTCCTACCCAAAAGGCACGTTAGCCACTCACTAGTCACTAACATCTACCTCCATGTGCCAGACCGTAAATAGGTGCAAATTACTACAAAATAATAAGCAAATATAAAGGTAACAAGCAGATTTTGTAAAAGGACTTGTTATCTCAGCCCAGCTGCAAAACAAAGATAAGGGTGAGAACCACAGCATGTTGTTAAGTAACTCATTACTGCTGATGGACTAAAAAGTCTGACATGGACATCTCCACCTTAAGACAAGTTTCTCTTAAAGGCCAAGTAGATTACTAGTTTTGATGAACCGACTGGAAACTTCTCAGAATTTTCTTCCACCCTTCAAGAAAGAGGGAGTTGGGAAAAAAAAAAAAAAAAAAGAGAGATGTTAAAGGAAACAAGCTGGTTAAGAACAGAAATTAAAGGACAGAAACAGAAGACATGCAGCTATTGCAGATTTGAATCATAGCATAGTTAGGGTTGGAAAGGACCTTAAGATCATCTAGTTCCAACCTCTATGCCATGGGCAGGGACACCTCACACTAAACCATGTTACCCAAGGCTCTGTCCAACCTGGCCTTGAACACCGCCAGGGATGGAGCATTCACAACTTCCCTGGGCAACCCATTCCAGTGCCTCCAGTGCCCATCCCAGTCCAACCCATTCCAGTAAAGAATTTCTTCATTCATTCCAGGGTGCAAAATTTGAAGAAGTTTTTATGAAGTAAATATCAGGAGTCAAAAAAGGAAAGGATTTAATACTGAACACACTCTCTCCTTCTGGAATTTAACAAACATTCAGTGAACAAGCTCCATGACACCATAAAATTTAAGTTCTAAATTATGCTTAGAAAATACAAACAAATAATTGAAAACCTTGTTTTTATTACATGCCAGCAGTCATGCAAGGGAAACAACCCTGTGCACACAACCACCTTCTAAAAACAGTGATAATACTTAGCTACATCCGTCAGACACACACTGATGGCCTAATGTTGACTGGGGAATAAGAAAGTTAGTTTCTCTAAATCAGGACCCTCATTGAGATAATCTTATGTGGTGACATTACTTGGGGAAAGTTACAACTCAGAGCTAACCTGCTTCACTAGGATTGAGGCCTGACTTAACAGGTAGCCTTCCACACTTTACAAATGAGTCAGTTCCCATGTACGAGTCAGTTTCTAGCCTGCAAGTCAGAAAAGCACACAGGTATAGAGGAGCGCAAATGCATACTTTAAAACAACTTAATACCCTTAAACATAACAATTCAGGAATACAAACCACGCATGTCCATACAATATGCATTTCAAATTACTAGTTTCTATACACCAATAAGTGTTATGTACACATTTAACCCATGTTCACATACAAAATTCCTTCTGCCTTTATTAAACAGTGCCATAACAGATACAACAAAGAGGCTCTTGCTAAAAGAAGTCATCACTCAAGTGCTACATTTAATTTGCAAAAGAACTAGAAGATTTAGAGATGTTCCCACTTGAAGTCGGTTTTACATATGAAATTTTAAATGGTGAATTTTGGAAGGAGAGTTAATACAGTCGGATTACCTATAACTTCCTATTACTTATCCTTCACTTCTTGCCAGTTTGACTCCAAACTAGTCAATATGAACATGAAAAAGGAAAACGAGCCCTAAATTTCAGTCTCAGGAAAGTAATCCCCACAAATGCTGACAACACATTTGTAATGAGCCAATCTCATGAAAAATCACAGATTAACCCTCAGCATATCCACAGACATTTTGGCAGCAGGCAACTTCGGTTTCACGCACGCCGAAATACACAGAGCATATACCTGAATACAACTATTAGACCTCAGGGGGGTTGAGGGAGGAATTCGTGCTTTTACGTGCATGACAAGGCAGGGATAGGTACCCGCTTGGCTACTTGCGGAACAACTGCGGCGTCTCAATTAAGGCGAGGAGCGGGGAGACGCCTTTTGTTCCGTTTGAGGGTAAGGCACCGGAGATCGTTTCGGTCGTAGCTCCCCAGCCCCGCACCGACCCCCTACCCTTGAGATGGGGCGACGGAACAGCGGGGAGGGGCGCACCGCTCCGCGCTGAGGTGGTACGAGGGGGACACAGACGTGAGCCAGCGGAGCGCCGCTCCCCGCAGAGGGAGTGCCGGCCGGCGCGGCAGGTAACTCTGCGGGCAGCTCCCTCCTTACCTTTTTCACCTTGCTCTCCAGGTCCATGCTGGCTGCCGTCGGGGCGCTGCGGGCGGCTCACCGGGCGGAGCGCGGTGCTGCACACGGCGGTAGAGCGGCGGCACCACCGCACCCGCCGCCGCTCTCAAACTTCCGCTGCCCTGCGGTAGTGGCTGCAGCCGAACAAAAGCAGGGCGGCAGCCAATCCCCGCCCGGCCCCCAACGGGCCGCCAGCCAATCAGCGGCCGCGCCCTGTCCGTCCTGGCCCGTCCTGTCCCATCCCGTCCCATCCCGTCCCGGTGCCGGCCGGGGGGCGCGGGCCGGCCCGGGGTTTGAGTCACCTTTGCCGGGTGATAGGGTCATGGGGAAGGCGTTCGCTGAGCAGCGCTCACCTCCGAGCGCAGGCGCCTGGAGGCGGCGTGCCTCTCTCGGGCGGAAAGCAGAGTCCATCGTGTCAGACTGCAATGGTTTACAGACATGAGCGGGAGGGGGAAGAGAGCGGCTGAGCCCTTGCCTTGCCGAGATTGTACCCACACCCCCAGCGACCCCCGGGAAGTGCCATGTCTACAAGGGTTGGGTCCCAGCCTCCACCTTCCTTTGGCAGCCCCGAAGGCCGCCGGGCGGTTGAGCTGCGCTAGGCATCGGATGGACACATCCTAGTAAAACCAGTTACAAAGTCACCGTTGTAGGGCTGGGCTCTGGTTGAGCCAGTGGAGGAGCTCTGGTTTTGCCCATTTGCTATGGGGGTGGTGGGGAATGGGACTGCTGTGCAGGGTGACCCCGGCAGAGGTATGACAGCAGCAGAATCCTGCTGCCCAGCCCAAACCCTGAGACTGAGTAGAACTGCTCTTTGAAGCCAGTTTCGTGGCCTAATTCTTCTCCCTTTCACCTCCATAACATCTGGAGGAAATTACTAGTTTTGCCCAAGTGGATTTACTTTCACCCGAATCCACTCAAAAAGTTTTGACACTCCAGAACCTGATCTCATCATGTGTTACCACACATTTTACAGTAGTGATTTTTTTTTGCTATTTATTGAACCAAACAACAATTTTTCTCCTGTTGGCACTGGATGAATACTGTGGAAAAAAAAAAAATTATACTTTGGTCCCAGTCTTCAAACTCAGATGCACATGATCAGTCCTGGGATGTCACTGATAATATAAAATATATTTTATATATAAGGTATATGTGGTATAAAATGAGAAAATAATTAAGAATTTAAAAGATAGAATACTTCCAGAAATATTTTCTTCTTTCATATTTCTTTTCTTCTTTGGAAAAAGTAACAATCATTCATGCAGACTTTACAGCTACCCTATGCAGTTGTGACGTATGATTTAATAGATTATATTGTCATTCATCTGTAGGATCTTATCTTTTCTCTCCACACATCAACTTTTCTCAAGTAAGCGTTAGGTCTTTTTGTTTCTTCCCCAGAGGCCAAATACACTTTTCTTTCAGTGCTCTATTTTTTTATCTGCCATCACTTGTTGAAAGGTGTTTGCACCAAAGCGAAAATGAGACTAGTTCTGTTTGTTGTCTGTTAACAGGTAGAAGCAAAACTCCTGTTTGAGTTTTCTGCTGGGGCAGGCATCACGGTATAAGGCATGGGCCAGTCACTCCTACCGATGGATCTGTGCAGCAGACCTTTGCCAAGGAGTTAATTACAAAGTTAAGAGTGGATGTTTTCAGGATGTAACATTAGAAAAAATGAGAGAACATAGGCCATCAGGTAATGCTGCTGTGCTCAATGTCTGTTTTTAAGAGAGGTGAATAATAAAGGTTGTTGCATTAATTTTGTTTGTTTCAATTTGGAGTTTTGTTTTTCATTTCTTCTTCTTATTCTGTTTTGTTTGGTTTAGTGGCTCCTTCCTGCTAGTTTTGGGGGTGAAAGACAAGGGGAAGTCAGAGTGTCTGAAATGTTGGTACGTCTGGGACTATGCAGTTAGAATTCCTTCCATGCTCACAGCTGTCTCCAACTAAGATCAAAGGACTAAGCGGGACATTATTCCTGTTCAGTGAATGTGCTGTCAAATGGTACAATGTAATAATGAAAAATGCCAGCAACTACAAAGACTTGCTAGGTACCTTTGACTGTGCTAAGCAGAGAGATTAAAGTATCATAGTTCTCATTACGTGCTTTTCATATGGGAGTGGTTATAGAAGCATATTTTTGTTTTAGGAAGCTAAATACTGTGAAACAAAATCTTGTATAATTTAACTGTATTTTGTTTATTTTTATCTCCTTGAAAATAATAGCATAATAGTAGTTTTGATCAAGACATTGCTCTGGCTTTGTTTTGTTTTCCTACTAAGCTATGATACTGCTGGGTTACTGATGATTTGGTTTGCTTATGTTTTTCTTGAATCTCTTAAGTTGGAGATGCTCTGGTTGTGATTTATGTATCTTGCAATTGTGTAATTTAGTGCCAAAATATAGTAAACTTTAACAGCGTTGCTATCTATGAATTTGTATATGGAGCCTACAAATTCATGTATGTAATAGAAAATGCAGAAAGTAACATCAGACTTCTGTTTTGCAAATCAGCAGATCGCTGTTGGAACACACTTCCTCTGAGATCTGCATCAATAAAGAATGCATTTTAAGATTGTGGGTTTTGTGTTTTCTACAACTTTAATTAGTCTGGCAGACATAACTTTCTATTCTGTGAATGTAATCCTGTATAGCTCTTTCACTTATGGATTCTGAAGTTGCCAGGCTCATAGAATTGAAATGTTCTGGGGCACAGAGCTGGTCTTTCTCACAGTTGTCTAGGAAATATTGAATACCTGTTTTAAATCTTGGTAATTTTTGTAGAAAGGGCAAGATGCACCCCGGCAATAACTTTCTCACAACAATGTTCATGGAGACAACAGGCAGAAGATGGGAAAAAGCTAATACTTCTCCCGTACTCCCTTCTGCGACCACAGACCACAGGGAGTATATGATATGTCAGTTTGTCTTCCTGGTTTTATGATTTCCTTTGCACTCAGATGTCATAACAATGAATGCATCCGCAGTAACTATGTATCTCCAAATATTAGATGCGTAGATTATATAGATGGTTTATGTGTCCATCCTTGAACGGGAGAAAGAATAGTATCATAACGACTTAGCAATGCTGAAAATGTATTTCTAGTAGAGCTGTTGATATACAGTTCTTTTGTTTAAACTTTGAAGCAAATACTTCAGACTAGCTTCCAGATAAATTATTGCGGTTGCACTGTTTACTCAGTGCTTCATACATTATAATGGATGACACTGTCTGCTTTTAAGATTTTTTGTAAGTAGAATCCTAAGTGTAATATAAATGTAGGAGTCTGTCTTGCCTCAAAGCGGCTTAATACACTAATCTGGTTATCAAAAAACATTTCAGTTTCAGAAAAGAAGAACATTGGCCTTTTTGTATCCATTTGGATACAACAAGGAAATGTTACATGGAATGTTTTGGGGTAGGTGAAATAAAAAATGCAGAGGGGAACTTGAGTGCATATATCAGAAGTGGAATTTCTGATTACAGTGAGAGAAAATAAGAAAATGATTTCTATCTCACCTAAGATTAAAGCATTAACATGAGTTACAGAAGACCAATATCTGATCCTGCTTTGCCTGGATCAGACCAGAAATATGTAACTATGGTAAATACTTTCACTATGGGAGTATGCTGTTCAGTAAAGGGCAAAGGGTGTTTCTGTCAGGTTTCTCATTTTGGACATTCTTGGTTTCATTCCAATACAATGCAAGACAATTTTGATCTCTCAAAAAAAAAAAAAAAATGGGATGGGAAATAATTTCCTGTACAGCTCTGTTAACAATATAATGTTATGAGCACTTGTTTGGCTTCTTTCCCATGCAGGAGAGCTCTAGCAAATGTTCTGCAGCGCTCAGATTTTCCATTAGTAATAATTTAGATAAAGATTGTATATAATGTCTAAAAAGGCATAACATAAGTACCAGATGGATAGAATCATAGTGACTCTTTTGCTATAATGTATATTTAATAACTTCAGCAAAGGCTTGCAGAGATGATGTCTACACTACTCAAAGTAGTTACAGTATATGAGATCATGCTTTTATGACTGCAAATGCCAAGGAACATTAATAGGTAATTGAATTCTTTATGTGTCCATTTGTAATTACAGACTCTTACGATATTTGCCACCCACATCTGAGAAAAGAAAGTCTGTTAAGTCTTAGGAAACAGGAAGTGATCATCAGCTTTCCTGCATACCAGAATCCTTTTATAGCCATTGAAAAATCTTCTGGCTTGGCTCTGCCAGCAGAATTTTTTCTCTCAAGTGGATTGTTTGTATGTTAGGGTCATACATCTCCAAGCTGCTACTTTGATAGGTCAGACATTCTTGCTTTTTCTTTCACTGATCAAATCCACTCTTAGCCCAACCAGAAAGGTGCCCATTTGAAATCCTCCCCAGTAGCTTACAGCTTGTCAAAGGACTAGCCTCAGTGGGGATGATTTATAGTTTCTGGTGTTATGTATGGTGTACAGTAAGAAAGAATAAAATTAGTACAAATACCTAAACTACAGTGAGCAAACTCCCTGGTTGGGCTTGTCACGTCTCTTTTTTTTAGTCCTGGAAGATTTTCTACTGCACTCTAATCCTTCTTCAGACTTAAGTGGTCATAAGTAATTGTATAACTTTGCTACAAATCTAGCACTTGATGCCTCTTTAAATGAAGTTTAGACTCTGATCCAGCAGATGGGAATGCCAGATGAGATTTGAAAGTCATCCATGGAGAGAATTGCCTTATATTTGTTCCTTCATTTAATGGGAAAGGTGTTATTTATACCTGAGGCATGCAATTCATGTTACTACGAAATGATGTCCAGAGAGGATTAGGGGTTGGCCTTGAAGATGGCACTGGCAGAGGCAAGCATGGGTGGCTGGTTGTTTAGGAGGCATTCCAGATTTCATGTCTTTTATAGTGTATCACTGGAAACTGACTGTTGTACATATCACAAAGGAAGAAACAAATCTGTGAATCCCAAAGATTATCAGTATGTTTGCATACCTTGAAGTACATTACTGTCTAGATTCTGGCTTGTTCAATGGGCAGCAGTAAAATAGTTACAGTATTTAAGCTAAGGACTGAAACCCAAATTGTGAAGTGGTCAAGCATCTAGTTCTAATGAACAGTGGATATATTGCTGTCTCAAAGCTGTTGGATGACATACAATGCATGAATGAGAAGAAAATAGAAGCTGTTAAAATCATATCTTGTATTTTCTGTTTTCATGTATTCGTTACCTGTATAATGTATTTTTTCTTTTCTGTATGTATTTGGCATGAAAAATTACAGCAGAATTTCTGACAGTTGTTTGTTATATGCAACAGCTGTAACTCCTTTACTGGTAAAGACTAAAGGATTCACAAAACATTAATAAAAGGAAACTTGGTTCATCAGATAAGAGCTTTTAATATATTTTCCTTTTCTCTTTCCTACATATGCATTTTCTTACCCTTTGCTGTTCTGTTAGTTGGTTTCCATCTTCTTCCCTCTACCTTATATGGAATGACTGAAGTCTTAGTTTACTTTTCTCATCCATGTTTTGCCTTCTTTTCTCAAAAAAAGTATTTTAATATAGCTTGATAACATCTTGTATTTATCTGTTACTAAGTGAATATGCACAGTAAGGTACACAAGAAAAGAAAGCCAGCAGGCAGTGTGCCCACGTACATGTCTACCTCTCCTTTTTCTTTCATTTCTTTCTGCACTTATTTTCCGTGAATGACAAATTGCAGTACCAATAACCAAGGCCATCCAACACTTCCCAGTACAGCATCTATTTTCAGTTTGTTATAACTTTGTCAAACGTCAAACATTTGAGATGAAAACTTCACTGCTCACATCCTACCGTGCATCGTTCTGTTTTAAAAATTTGTCTATTGTTGTCTCTTTTTTGTGTTATTTCCTTGTAGAGGTGAAAAATAGAGGAGAAAAAGAAGTTGATTTATTGTTAAAACCAGATAATTAAGGTGTTTCTGAGAACATGAATTGTGGAGAAAATTCTGTCTTCTTTTGTCAGAGTTAATAACTTTTGTGCCCATCTCAGTGAAAATTCTACTGACAGCCAGAGGGCCATTTTGCAGGTGTTTTGAATAGAAGGTAATGGCTACATTCAACAACGAAGTTAAGTGGATGTAGCAATCTCCACTTGGACCATCTTGTGATTAGGGTCCTCAGCTACAGAAATATGGAGGCTCCTCATCTGATATTTTGCTCTTTTATACTGAATCTCCCTGACAAATCCTGTAATCACTAAGGTAAGGAAACATTCTGTCTCACCAAGTACGTACATAAAATATTTTGTACTGAGTAGAACAGCTTTGACAAGAAGCATTTTTTTTCTTTTTTTTTTTTTGCAGTGTAGCTGCTGTGAAGAAGAAACCCCTGTTTCTGGATAATTATCCATTCCATTTAATGTGGGACAGTTGAGAGTGTAATTTCACTTAGAATCTATAAACTGGCCAATTTCTACAAACCCTGGCAACTTTATTATGCACTAGGAGATAAGGTTTGGGAAAAATATACCGCTTCTTCCTGGTTTTGTAAATTGCCACTTTTTTTTGTTAAGTCAGTTATCCCCTCTGAAAGTGCCTCTAAAACTATAAGTCTAATATTTCTAAGTTGTGCACTGAATGCTCGAATTTTTTGCATAAAGTAAGCTTGTGTTTTCTCTTTTCAGGGCTTGTAAAGAATAGGTGAATTTGATCCTAACTTTGCCATCTTACAAACCTCTGGCAAACTGCGTTCACAAAAACTTATCACATTTTGGTAGCTCAGTTTGGAACCTGTCATTACCAGGTAGCTCAGCAATTATTCACCCTGCGATCAGCAACTTGAAATGGTTACATGACTGACTATTGTGTTAGGGAAAAATCTTCAGAAAGAAAGCTAACATTCTTTAAATCTTACTGATTTCTTTTTTGAAGAACCTGATGATTCTGTATGCCAGTATTCATGTATAAAATATAAACAATAATTCTTCTGTAAACCCATATGACATTTGAGAAAGAAAAAAAAATCAGTCAAGAATCCAAGAGCTTCATATGCAGAAAGGGAATAAGCATCTTCATAAATACTTAGAATAGATACATTGCTCTGGATCAACCAAATGAAGACACAGTTCCAGCATTTTACAATTTTCTGATGTCAGTTAAGTCAAATAACATATATCTATTTATTTCTTTTGGACCAGCTTGTCTTTCCTGCTGGGAGGATGCCTTGTTTAAATCATATAATTCTTGTCAGCTTTTGATCCAGTCAGATTATTAAAAGCAGTTTTTCTGTCATCAGTGTGCTTTGCATCAGATGGTCAGCTACATCAAGTAACAACAAATTACAGACTTGTTTTATCAAGTGCTGCTACACTTTTAAAGATCTACTCAGTGCTGCAAGATTCTACTCCTTCTGTCAGAAGGGTGCTGCATTTTCCTTTCAATTCAATTTGCAATTTAAAACATGTCTTCAAAACAGGATTATCAAACATCAGGTCTATGACGTATTCCTAAAACATCTTGATGCAAGTTGGCAGTCACTTATCACGCATTATTAAACAGTTTTCAAAAATCACAATGTTGTCTCTGTA